GTTTCAAGGGGTATGTAACAGAGGGCTTGTGGCGCGGAACGCGACAACCCCCCTTTTCGGCACACCCCCATATGGGGGTTGTACTACAGGTCTCCCTTAAGCCCCCCTTTAAGCCCCCTTAAACCGCCCCTGAAGCCACCCATGAAGAAGAGATCATTGGGAACTCACTTCCTGAGAGGGGAGTCCTGATCAAATAGGGAACCTACCTGGACCTACCTTGGCCATTTTGGGGATTAGGGGTTTAGGGTTTCATCTTGAACGACCTCCTGATATATGGGGGGTTGTCAAAGGGATCCGAAAAGGGACCATAATTTTGACAACCACCCATATGCTGAGATGTTGTCCCACTATTTGGAAGAACTGATAAAGAAAGCAAGCGGGCCCTTTCAAGATTACTGTACTTAAGACAAGGGACCTCCTTGTTAGTCTGGAGGAGGAGGAACAGAAGCCCAACATCCTAAAGCCATGGATTGAGAATTTGGCTCGTTTGAGCGGGCTATGACGACCCTAAGGGTTTAGGGGGTTGCCTATGGCTAGAAAGCCCATAAATAGATCGTAAAAAAGACCTGCAAGGCTATAGGCGGCACAAAGTCACCCAAGAGTGCGGCAGCTTCCATGTTCTTCAACCATAGGCTCCTTAGGAGGAATTATTCATTTTCATTCTTACAACCTTAATTAAGGAATTATACACAAACGACTACGTTCATTACGGGTTTGGACGGACTACAAAACGTATTCCCCCCCTTCCCGAGAGATTGTCTCAAAATCCTCAAGCCCACAGACTAAATGGTGGTCGTGATTCCCTTGTCCAGTGCAAAGAAACTAGAGGACCTTGCTCAAGCTTGTTTGCATATGAGCTATAGTCTAACCTCCTTCAAAGGGGCTTCTATAGGGTAGTACTCTACTAGTTATGAAGGGGATATCAGGAGTTTAGACTATGTCTCTATATACATATAGAATACATATATATATATATACACATTGGCGGTTTTCCAAAAATCAGGGACCATAAAAAATGGCAGCTACTGTTTAAGCTTTAGGGTTTCCCAAAACTAGGTGTACCATTTTCGGAGGTCCTCACAATAAGGACTCTAGTATATCGGGGGGGGGGTCTATGATGGCGTCCCCCTGTTCAGGGAAACTACTGCGTGTATATGTGTAAACATACATGTGCTGAAAGGGTACGTAGCATATCTTTTAGTCGTTGCTGGTTATATCCCCATAGACAGGTACAAGTATTTTATGTATTTTCGGGGAAGGTTCCAGGTCGGATTCGGTACATAGGCTTTCGGGTTTGGGGCACCGGGTTAGGGTACATATATATATATATGTAGATGTATATACATCCACACATATGTACATGTAGAAACGCATCTATATACATGCATATATGTATACACGGAAATATGAACATAATGTGTATATATCTATGTATAGACATTCATATATATATATATGGTATATATGTATATATACATACATATCTGAGGGACATCGGTCAGTACAGCAGAAGCCTGTAGCACACTGAAGCTTGTTTCCAAAGGGCCACTGAGAAGCTATGAAGCCACGTATTGCAAGTCGTACAGAAATCCCAAACCCTTAGCCCTGATCCCAACAAACTAACCACAAAGCCAGAAGAGTCTAAACCCTAAACCCTGAGTATGAGCTATCAGGATCCGTAAGAATCTGCCCATGAGTTGAGCAACTCCTTTCATCTCTGTAACAATCCTAAGGGCACATGATTCCGGAAAGTTGAGAAGCCCACGCCCTAAACCTTACTGAACGCTAAAACCTTGCTGCGACACTCCAAACCTAAACTCCGAATCCACGTAATCGCCAAACCCTACCCCCCCCCCCAAACCCCAGTACCCCGAAAACTATTCTAAAACCCGAATAGCCCAAGTCCCCAAACCCTGAATCCCCAACACCTAAACCCCAAAACCCCCTCCCCCCCTTCTGCAACTCGCCTACCCTCCTTTTAGGGAGAGCGACGCCATGATCGACCAGATCGAGAAGGCTGAGATTGCCGAAGAAGAACGTCTGGCCCTTGGCTCGTAGGGTTTAGGGTTTAGGGTTTAGGGTGTAGGGCTTGGGGTAGTTGGGGGGCCTCAGTAGATTGAAAAGGACGGTCATGAACAGGCCAAGCCCAATTAGGGCACTTAGGGCCGCATTTATGGCCTACTAAAACACCTGAGCCTTCCAGTGCCCTCACCTCAACGCATATGACAGTTCATATGGTAGGTGATCAAGTTATGATGCAAACCACCCTAACCCTAAACCCAACATGGTTTTTATGTTCGCTGCAACCAAAACCTGCCAGGGCTCCCAAAGGCTTCGCTCTGAAAATCACTGTAGGATTCCTATCCCCTCCTTCGCACTTTGATGGTTGTTTAGGGGTCGTATCCGTCGCGGTCAGTTGTGAGGTTGAGGAAGGGGAAGGGCCAGAATTTACAGGGCTTTGTTGTACAATGTTTCCACACGAATATGTTCATGCACATCCGCCCACACCTTTTTAAGCAAATTACAATTTTCAAGCCCCAAACCCAACAACAAACCCTGAAACGTCCCTGCAGCCTATACACCCCTAAATGGAAACATGTACATCCCAAAAATGCCATAGAAAACCATTGTAGGGTTTTTTTCAGGCTTTCAAGGATCCCTAAGCCCTGAAATTACGCCCCCCCCCCCCCTCT